GTTTATATAGCTTCAGCCAGGTATAAGAAAAATGTGATTCTTTCACTAGTTATAGTACACCTATGATGCTAATGATCTCTTATTGCTTGAACTCTATATCTCACTATAACCACAAGTTATCAAGTTTTTCATATAATCATCTTGTTAAAGTACTCTGCATCTAATTTGTTAACATACACCAATTGTTACTTACGAGGAAATCATTCAAGATGGTACATCACATTTGATATGGGACACCCCTCATTAGGTAGGATCTGTTAAGACTAGGAAAAGTCTAGAAGGATTCTTGCCCATGCACTATTCTTCTGGAGTTATGACAGTTTTACTTGATTCTTTTATCATTGGATTGTATGCATAAAAACATTGAACAAAGGAGTTTTGGTCTGAAACTTTGCATATGAATAGTTCTTGAGATCATTAGAATGATGAAAATTTTAGCCAAGAAGAATGATTTCTTCTTGAGTTATCGAATTCAAAAAAAAAAGCTAGATTATCTGCCATTTTTATGGGATATCATGCTTTTTCTTGTAGATTCGATATCTAAAGAAGAAATCATTTTTTGTGGATAAAACTTTCATCATTCTATTGATTGTAAGAACTATTCATAGACAAAGTTTCAGATCAAAATTCCTTTGTTCAATGTTTTTATGGATACAATTCCAATGATTAAAAAATCAAGTAAAACTGTCATAACTTCAAAAGAATAGCGCATGGACAAGAATTCTTCTAGGCTTTTCCTAGTCTCAACAGATCCTACTTAATAAAAGGTGTCCCATATCAAATGCTATGTATCATCTTGAGCGATTCCATCGTCAGTAACCATTGGTGTGTATTAACAAATTAAATGCAGAATACTTTAACAGAATAATTATAAGAAACACTTGATAACTTGTGGTACTAGTGAAACATAGAGCTCAAGCAATAACAAATCATTAGCATCATTAGTGTACTGTAACTAATGAAAAAATCAAATTTTTCTTATACCTGGCTGAAGTCACATAAACAACTATGAATTGGAGTATCCTGTGATTGAGCACGTTCATATATATTCCTTTCTTTCTTAGCAGAGATAAAATAAGTGTACTCATCGACCTAATATTGAACAATTTCTATAACCTTATGAAGTTTTTTGTTTATCTTATCACGATACAAACAATTAATCAAGAGAAAAAAACCAAAATAACGTGAATTGTATGTTAATAATAGACAAATAATTCATCTAATCATATATACAAAAAGAAGAAGAAGAACTAATAATACTTAAATACTTGTAAAACTAAAAGTTTTCACTTTAAAAGTTAGTGTTACTAAATTTATGAATACAAAAAAAAAGTATCAACAGATTATTTTCGAAGTTCTTGGAATATATTCATATATACCTAAAGGCTACTCTATTTTGGCAACATATCTTTTGTTTCTATATAACTTCTTTGAGTCAATTATTCAGTGTCATCTAATATTATTAAGTCAATTTAATTAGTGCCAATTGCAAATTTACACCTGAAAGTTTAAGTCATTAATCTTTTGTTCAAAATTTTTCATCTGTTTTTCTATCATGTATTGCGAAATGAGTAATAGACAATCGTGAGATCAAAGTCAATAACTTGTTTTATTGACTTGAAAGAATAGAAACGAACAAGAGCAGTCACAACTTGAAAGAAGACAATAACCTATATATATGTCAGCGTCCAAACTGAGATTACGTCCAATCTCAGATCGGCCTAGGCGAATGTCGGATCCGAGATTGAACGCGTCCAGTCTAAGATTGACGTAATTATATTCACTAAAATATTAATTATTCTTTAGATATACGTTCAATTCGAATTGTTTTTTTGAGTGATGTTCCCACAATGTCAGTTTATTTGGCACAATTGTCGTTGACAGATTTGAGTAAAATTTTAGGAGCTATGAATAAATTTCTCGAAAAAACCAACTTTCATGAAAAACCTTTATTAAATTCTTGAGTCTAAATTTAGCTTCTTCCTAAATGCTTGTAATACTTAAAACAGCATCGCACCAACATAACTTCAAAAAATAGTTCGGTTCCAACATCTATCTAAAGAGTAATTAATACTTTAGTGTATAGAATTACGTCAATCCGAGATTGGACGCGTCCAATCTCAGATCCAGCATTCGCCTAGGCCAATCTGAGATTGGACGTAATCTTAGTTTGGACGCTGACATATATATGCATAGATATATCTATGTGTGATGATTCATCAGAAGAAGTGAAAAAACAGAAAGAAAAGAAAAACAACATATAACAATAATGTATGTCACTATACAGAGTGTAACAAAACCATTACATCCCATTTACAACTTAAAGTATAAATAATATCATAAAGTATTTTATACCAAATTAATGCTCATCAAAAATTGGATTTATGAGCGTAATTAGAGCAATTATTGCCTATGAAATTATTGAAATGTCTTGAGTTACATGGCAAGATACAATCATACTTCACGATTTTTATTCTTCATGTATATATTTTCTCAAAAAATAATAGCTGATTCATAATCTCCATTAAAAGTTGAATCTATAGACATGTCATTGGTATATTTTTGACAAAAATCTTGGAAGGTATTCCAGACAAAAAATTCCAAAAACGTTTTTGAACTGACTCAACGAGAAAAAGATTTGATGCTCTTAAAGCTGCTCAAGAAGGTTATACAAATTTCTGAAACTTTTCCATTAACGTACATTTGTGAGAAGTTTATATTTCTAATAACCTAGAAACTCCATAATTTCCAATTTAAGTTGCTGACGGAATATGATAGTTCTTTTATAGATCCGACATTATAAAATCTATGGCATTTTTATGCCCTCATGAGCTCGTATATTGCAATTTTTGCTTTTTCTGTTACATTTTTCAGTAAAAATAATATCAAATTCGTGATCTCCATCAAAAACTGCGTACACTTATATATAAATTGAGATAATTCAGTTCGAAAGAATTTTTGAAACTGTTTATCTGAGATACCTCCCACGATTTTTTTCAAAACATTTTTTCCCTCAAAAATATACAAATGACATGTCTATAGATTCAGTTTTTGATGGAGATTATGAATCAATTATTGGTTTTTGAGAAAATATATACATGAGGAATAAAAACCGTAAATTATGATTGTGTCTTGCCATGTAATTCAAGATATTCCAATAATTTCATAAGCAATAATTGCTCCAATTACACTCATAAATCCAATTTTTGATCAGCATTAATTTGGTATAAAATACTGTATGATATCATTTACACTATAAGTTGTGAATGGGGCGTAATGGTTGTGTTACACTCCGTATCACACTTTTATAGTAAATAAATTTTGCTCGTCTGGTTTTTTCGATATCATTGTCCTTGACTGTAACTGAATGGCCGTTCGAATAGGAAAGCAAAAACTATCGTTTAAAGGAAGATTGAGTGATGATAGTTAATATTGTATCTTGCTTTTTTTTAAAAAGATAATCGACGATCTGTATTTTGTCCATAGTTATCAAATTGTGGTTAAGTATATTTCGGCTTTTTCTCTTTTTGATCGTTTCTTTTTGTGCTTTTTTTTCGAATTAGTTTCTGATCGAGGGACTAAACCGAATAAAATCATCTTCATTCGATTCAGTTTCGGTTTCTGACATGGATAACTTTGATAATCATTTTCATAACTGATCTCATACAGTTTTGAATGCAGAAAAATGATTCTAAATCGAATTCCAAGTTTGAAAAACCATCAGAATCAAAACAAGCAGAAAACACAATGAAACATTACATGAAAGATTGGTTATTGACAGAGCGCTGTGATGTCTTGTATGCATCAGAAAAGAACTAGCTCCTATTTAAATGTTCTCTTTTTCAGCAAAATCAAAATACATGGAAATATATTTGAACCTCTTCAAATTACTAGAAAAATCAAGCATATACTAAATAAAAAGAAAAAGTAATATACGACTGAGATTTGTATTTTATGTCCCTATATGTTAAACATTGAACCGACGTAAATAAGTACATTTTTATAGAGTTATATTATTTGTATCAAATGAGATACTATGAAGGAAATGATTAAATGCTGAGACTAATGAAAGAAAACATAGTTTTGAAAAGGTTAGTTGAAGGTCTGCTCAGTGTTTATTCCATAACTATTCAGAGACAAATTAAAAACGGCTAAAAATTTGTATTGACAGATTTTTGATGATGCTTTTTCATTTTCGATACAATAAACACTATAAAGGTCAATATTTGCGAGAATATGGTCATATATAAGGATGTTCGACAATTTTCATGAAGTGTCTTGTAAATATATCATTTTCAATAATATATATACTTTTATAAGTTTGAAACAACTATTATAACCCATTATCTCCATTGGTAAATGAAATAGCCATGTCTACCAATCTTTCAGAATTTCATAAAACATCAAGTTTCAATACTTTTATCAACATTATTTGTAGTACATATTCTAGTTCAAACAAGAGAAATGTTGCAATACCATTTAGCCATACTATTGAGATGCACAGGGTAACCTATATTATGTTTGCCTTAGTTGTTTCATCAAGATATTCTAGAATGACTGTATGGGTACAGGGATAATTAAAAATGACGATGTTGAATAAAATCTAAAATAAGATTCTTCTATGTATATAGGTCAGAGATTTCTACAAATACAAAGTCGAAATAGAAAAAGAACAAAAGAATGTTATCATTTACCTCTTATATCATCATAATAACAATAAATAGAAACGAATAACCTCTCTGACAAAAACAAACTATATACCAGAGAAATTGCGTCGACAAAAAACAACATTTTCTTTTTCTTTTTCTCTTCTATTTTTGTTCCTTTTCTTTTACTTCGTTCTCTTTATTGCGATTGAGAAATATATTTACCGAAGATAATCAATTTAACAATTGAGCAGTATCCTTCCTATATAAGACACACCTTTGAGGCTATTTGACATACAAAACTTTCAAACAAGCTACAAACACTTATTTTCTACTGTGAATAAAACATTTACAATGTCATCATCAAATCAACAACAAAATGCTAATCGCAATCAACAACAACAAAATCAACAAAATCAAAATCAACAAAATCAAAATCAAAACCAACAAAACCAAAATGCCCAACAACAATTAGGAGGTGCTGGTTCAAATCAAGCTAATCAAAATTCTAATCGTGGTATGAATAAATTCATTATTTTATTTTTATTTTATAACTTCACTTTAAACTGTTAGTTAAATCAAGAAAGAATATATACTTTTCTCTTGAATCTAATTGAGGAGAAAAACTAGTTAAAGAAAGCAATGAGAAAATGGAATTTTTGTCTTCGAAAACTATGAGAGAGATTAAGAAAAGTTTTTTCAACCTAATTCAAGTAATGATTTTTTTCTTTGAAGAATTCCGATCAAAATAGATTCTATTAATAGAGCAGAATATTATTTAATCTATTTTGTTTTGTTTATTCAAGGTCAACAACAACAAAATCAACAAGATCAACAAAATCAACAAAACCAGCAACAACGAAATCAACAACAAAACCAACAACAAGGTGGTGCTGGTAACAACCAACAACGTCAATAAACATCATTGACAAACATACAAAGTTCAATGAACTTTTTCTTTCATTTTATTTCAACAATCAATTTTTTATATTATTTATTCATGTAATGCATGCATTACCTATGCTTCAAATTTGATTACACTAAATAAAAAAGTGTATATATCAATTTTCTTTCTCTTATATTAATACTAAGCAGAAAATAACGAAAGATTTTATATGAATGTTATCATTCTGACCAAGCATAAGACAAACAATAATATCTGCAGCGATACATAAGAGAGCAGCAAGTATGTTGTTATTCTCAATACATACTTCTATGCTCTATGATAAAACTATCCTAAGATGAAAAGAAATCTTTATAAGGACTCTATAGATAAGTCAATTGACATTGAATCAATTCTAAAGTATATCTATATAAATAAATCGATGAGTGATCTTGAAATTTCACAAAAAACAATTCCTATCTCTCTTGACACAAAGGAAGACAAATAATTCGATACTAAAAGATATAAAACTCAGGATATATTACAAGATCATTCTTGAAAAAAAATGAAGCAAGAGAGACAGATTATTTGATATTCTGTAGAAGATTGCATCGATATTCGATATGAAAAATATGCTCCGCGACAAAAGTTGAATCAAATTTGTTTCTTTCAATTTTTTTGCTATACATCCATTTTTTTAGTTTTTCTTTCACATGAACAGGTATTCATTTGATTCAAATGTTGATATATGTAGTAATAGATGCCAACTACATGTTGTAGTATTGGAAGAGACTCCATCTATCTATATAGATTTTTCATGAATAAAAGAATTTTTTTCTAGTGAAACAAGTTTTAGTATTTTTCAGTATATTACATTTTATTGTCAAGAGATTTAAGCTAAAATGAAAAAACAAATGTACCACTCAATAGAAAACTTCAAGCTCTATCTGTTTCTAAAGATGAGTTCCGTTCTCAAAGTTGGTC